CCTAGCTGAGGCTCAGAGGCAGGTGTCTTCAGGAGGAAAGTCTAGAATAATGGCAAGTGATGCAGACTTCAGCCTGACAGCTGCTGATCTTTGCTTTAGTTGATTTCCCCCTTTGCAAATGGTTATTGGCAATTGAAACTGCAAATCTATCTGCTCCCCTATGTAAATTGCATTTACATTTAAATTGTGCATTCTTCCAAAGGATGGGGTTAGTAAATAACTGCAGATTAAACTTGAGGAGAGGAAATTGTGCCCCACGTCAAACCTGAGACCGAAGTGACATCTGGCTTTTACTATTTCCGTTATTTCAGTTTAATAACAGCATGTGGCATTAAGGGAAAAGAAATTGGATCTACATTTTAATGAAAAGAGGAAGCTCTCAGGGTTTAGATACCTTATCATGTTGAATACCTCGTCAATTGGCAATTAAAACTTGTTTCCCTCAAGAAATGGAATAAAATATCTTTACAGCCATGGGAGGAATAATAAACAAAAAAACAAGCTAATGCCCGGGACTTCACAGATAAAACCAAGAGAAATGGGTGCTGCAACCATCAAAACCGAGTATTTCCGGATACTGCAGAGTACAGGATTTCTTAAACAGAATAATGCTGAGAATAGAATCACGGAGATGCTGGGTGGGATCTACAGGGGAATAATTTCAGACAGAATAGTTTGTGCATAATAGGAGGCTCAACCCAATCAGATCAACTGATTGAATCCTTTGTCAACCTAGCTTCTTTGAAACCGCAGAGGTCTAAGAAAATATTCTAGAAATGCCTGTTTCATCCTAATAGTCTAACTGTTTAAATGGAAGCAGTTCCACCTGCTGGCTGCTTTTTTGTCTAAAGCAATTCCCGGAAATGTAAACAAAATGCTATGCATCCTAATAACCCAAGCCTATCATTTATTTGCTTTGATTGAAACAAATGTGTCAATTTTCCAAGTCTTTGTTTGGTGAATCCAATGTTTGGATGTTGGCAAATGTTTGCATTACATGTTTGTTTGGAAACTGATGCTCTATTCAGAAACTCTGGAGCTGTAGCCCTCAGAACCACAGCCTGGAATCATTCAATGAGCCTCCCTGACAATACACGCAAAATTGCTTAATCTTTTCCCAGAATCCGGATGGTGTTGAAATGGTAGAGTCCCATGGGCGAGTGTAAATGGGATGAGGCCTCCTGAGCAAGGGACTCGGTGTGGAAACTTTGAGGACATGGCTCACGAATAATTAGAACAATGGGAAACATTTAGACAGGGCTTACTATGTGCTAAGCATTTCTTGTGTATTGTACACTCCTTGACGTCCAGTAACAACCTTGTAAGGTGGGTCTGTTGTCATCCCCATTACAGAGGCGGCAAAGGAGATATAATGAGGTTAGTAACTTATCTCACCTGATGTCACCCCGCTGGTAAGAGGCAAAGCCGGGATTTGACTCCGGACAGGCTGGTTCGCTGTCTGTGTAACCCTTTCAGGTGACTCCCTCCCATCCCTGGCATTTAATTAAGACAGTGTGTTTTCCCGTACTTACATTTCATCTTACATAATTGTTTTTAAAGTCTCAGCGGTCTTTTTAAAAAGACTCAAGCTAATGGTCTGAAGGATCTCCTCATTCTTTTTTTTTTTTTTTAATTTTTTTTGTTTTTCCAACGTTTATTTATTTTGGGGACAGAGAGAGACAGAGCATGAACGGGCGAGGGGCAGAGAGAGAGGGAGACACAGAATCGGAAACAGGCTCCAGGCTCCGAGCCATCAGCCCAGAGCCCGACGCGGGGCTCGAACTCACGGACCGCGAGATCGTGACCTGGCTGAAGTGGGACGCTTAACCGACTGCGCCACCCAGGCGCCCCGGATCTCCTCGTTCTTAAATGAGGGATTCTTTGACAAGTTAATATAGCTTCTCCCACTTTCTCAGTCTCCCTAGAGTACATGGCCAAATCACCCATCTACTACTGTCGATCTTTTGATGATGACCCTGGCACCTGAGTTTGTCTGATATTTCCTTTATCTTCCCAGTTTCCTGGCACTGTTTGGTGCCGTAGTATCTCTTTCCCTTCACTTCCTGTACATAATGATAACTTCTCTGCATCTCTTGACATTTCATCATGGCAGGCTGCCCATAAAATCAACCAGTGCCTCCTTCTCTCTGAACTTAGGTTAAATTAATCATCTGACTTCCATATCAGTCTGTTGCTATGGGGTTGATTGATGTCACATTGTATTATGATCACCATGATATCTAACAGGCAAAAAGGGGTTGGTTGCTAGTAGAAACCCTTGGGTGAAACTCACCCGGCTTTAGTAACCAACCCAACTGCATAGACTTTAGACAACCATGTAAAGGGGTAAGTGAATTAATCATCCAGTTGGATTCCATTTGAATATTTTTCTTCCATATGTGTGTTCCCTCTAGGCAATTGTCTAGTGTCACTTGAAATTGATGAGGGTTCTTTTGGAGGTTATTTTGGGGAAGTTGGTGAAACAACAGACAGCTGTTCTTGGGAACAAGTGTCACAGGATCTGCCTAAGCTAGCTTCTAGTAAAAAAAAAAAAAAAGTCTGGGGCGCATTGTCCTTTTCCTTTCTATATTAGGTTGTTTACTGGTAGCCAAAATTTTTAATTCAGCTTCCCCAACACATAGGAAAGAAAACTCCCTTTTACGAAGCACCTACTGTGGTGCCAGAATGTGACTCTGGTCAAAAGCATAGTTTTAAAGTGGAAAACTGGAAAGCTAGGCATTCTCAGACAACCCTGATGTACATGACAATTCACAGCTTCTTCTAGCTTGTATACAATGTTCTTCCTAATTGGACATTGATTGATCACCAATAAAGGCAAAGTCATTACTTAAAATTGGTCCAGATCCTCTTGTGCTGAGTAATTGTCTTGAGTCATTTTCACTGCAATATTAAAAAGCATGGAAACATGATAGAAGTGAGGTACAATAAACAAGCTCCTAAATTATAAATCTCTGTTAAAAGGTTTGACAGACGTATCTTTTTCAGGGTTTTGTTAAGTAGGTGGAGGGGTCCTTCGGGGGGGTGGGGATGAAGGGATCAAGTGAATAAACGTGATTGAACTTGAGGCTAGCGTAGGTCTGGAAAGCCAATCAAGACTTGGGTAAACCTATATAAATCAATTTATGTGCCAGAGAATGAATAGCTGACTTTCTCCAAATGCCAATTCAGCAATTACCAAGTCTGTTGACGGTTAATTAAAAACTACCATCTCGTTACGTTCAGAGTTAAATTACAAGTGTGAAAACTACTACTGTTAGCAGGAACTGAATGCTCTGGACTCTCTGTACTCTCATCAAAAGGAGGGCAGGGATAAATAACTTTTATTTAACTCACTAAAAAAATCTCTCTCAGCTCTTTCGTATTTAATTAACTTCTTATCTTCTCAGAGCGTGAGTCTTACTCAGAGTTCCTAAGTAGGAATGGAAACATTTGTTCGTCTGCTCATTTTGCGCAGAAGACTTCTCTCACATGAGTTGAGTAGCAAAGTTAGAAATAATTGAACCCCAAAGGCATTGGGGAAAGTGACACCTACCCAAAGCTTAGCATTGAGGCAATTGAACCCAAGAGAGATTTATGGCGGAAAATGGTGATTTTTGCTTTCTTGCCTCTGTGCCTCCAAGCCTGGAGACATTGGGTTGAAGCACTTTTGCGGACTTTTGGTAAAGTTTTCGTGCTTATTTGGAAGTTGTCTTCATGAATTTAATGTTTTCCTCTTTCAAAGATTCCACTGTCTGAGAGACCAAACATCTATCACCATGGTGGATGTGAAGTGTCTGAGTGACTATGAATTACAGAACAAACTTAATAAGCTTGGATATTCACCTGGCCCGATATTACGTACGTACGCAGCAAATATTAGAGACTAGTCGTTTATCACTTACACACTACCTCCAGAGATTTAAAATCATTTACAATGGAAGGAACATATGCAATAAAAGCCCTCAAAATGGAAATACAAAACAAATTTTTGTACACAAAAAACCATAAACAGGGAAGAGGTGATAAATACGTCCTGATGCTACATATGGATCACTAAATAGGGAGCCAGAGAAAAAGAATTGTTTTTTTCCAACAAGGAAAAACAAGTTACTCTTGATGATATCACCCTGTTGGGTGGGGTTTTGTTTGTTTGTTTGTTTGTTTCATTTCTAGTATGTGCGCCATGTTAGCTATTTGTGTATTTATTGTTCATATTCCCCATAGATAGGATGTACGGTTTTGTCAGTCTTACTTTCGGATGTGTCCAATGCCTGCCTCCGTGGCTAATCCACAGAGGCCCCCACCTTAAGTGTGGAACGAAAGGAGAGTAGCTGTGGGGTCGACCCGATTGTAAAAGCCATGATTCACCAACAACGTAAGGGACAAGAATAAACGCCTTCTCTGTGAAAGACCTTGAACGCAGTGAGATCGTATACACAAACAGAACAACTGACTGTGTTCTCTGCATTCTTCTTCAGCTTCCACCAGAAAAGCGTATGAAAAAAAGTTGGTGCAACTCTTGGTCTCACCTCCCAGTGTATCACCTGTGATGAATGGACCCAGAGAGCTGGACAGAGCTCAGGATGATGACGCTAAAGGTACCATCGGAAGCTGCGCTGTTAGAGAGCAACTGTGTACTCATTCGAACCTTGTCTGGTATGATCTATGCGGCAGGGTGGCCTGCAAAATATCCATATGGCCTGTTTTCACACGGAGCCTGGAGACTAGGCCCCTGGGCTGCCAAAGGAACCCAATACTCCATTGTCCATACCAGTGACCCCACAGGTGGAAAGCCGGAGGGGAGGCACTGTCCTCTTATTAACCAGAACCAAATCTGGGTTTGATTTCTTTTTTTTTTTTTTTAATTTTTTTTTAACGTTTATTTATTTTTGAGACAGAGAGACAGAGCATGAATGGGGGAGGGGCAGAGAGAGAGGGAGACACAGAATCGGAAGCAGGCTCCAGGCTCTGAGCCATCAGCCCAGAGCCCGACGCGGGGCTCGAACTCACGGACCGCGAGATCGTGACCTGAGCCGAAGTCGGACGCTTGACCGACTGAGCCACCCGGGCGCCCCGTGTGGGTTTGATTTCTAAAACCAGAAGTTCCTGCAGGTAGTTTTCCCGTCTCCTTTGAGGTCTCAACCTCTGCTTTGCCTCAATCAATACATTTGGCAATGATTTGGTCGGATTAAATGATTTCAAATGCATTCAGAAAGATGAAGCCAACTGTACCTTCCTGAATTCCTATGCCTACTGCCTTCCCGACTTCGTAGGCACTGACCACAGCTGGTCTCTTCCGGGCCCCAGGGGAGGTGGAGAGCTGTGGTCTCTGGGATCCCGGGGCTCCCATTCCAGTGGCCCCTGCCCCATGTGCAGCATTCTTCTGTAGGGGCGTCTGGCTTGAAATTGTAGGGGGTGGGCTTGAAGACTCCTACGATCAACTCCAAGGCGGTTTCATTCGATAAAGAGTTATTAGGAGTCCTCTATGAGCCACAGTCAAATAATAGAACTAGCACGTACTGAAGGCCACCAACGCATCTCTGTTCTAATGCGCAATATCTCATTCAACCCCCACGCTTCTAGCTGAAGTCCAGAGAGGCCAAGTGACCGGCCCAACATCAAATAGCTAGGAGGCAGCCCCAGAGTGGGCCGTGAAGAGCAAGGTCCGTTGTCTCTGTCGCCACTGCACATCCAGATCCTGGAAGTACTAAGTGCTTAGTACTAATAGTACTAAGCACATAGCACGAATTCAGGAAATGTTTGTTGAAAGAGGGTGACAGAACCGAGGTTTGAATCCAGGTCTGGTTCTCATCGTTGTGCTCCTTCTACCACGTGCCTTATACGCTCGCCACAACTTCTACCGCGAGGATGAGCACATTGTGTTTTTGACCACGTTTGATCTACAAAAAAAAGAAAAAAAAAAAAAGGCAATTTCAAACAGTTCAAATGGAATAGTTTAACAAATAAGATAAGTGCCTGGGCCTTTGGAAAAATCCCCTTGATGCCTGGTACTGGAAGAGGTGCAGGTTCTGAAGGTTTTCCCTAAGTCCGGCATGGCTGTCCTCATCTGAAAGAGCAGCAGGGCTTGGAGATGGACCCCACCGACCCCAGAGTGGGGCAGTTAGCACCAGGGAGCTGCAGGGCAAGTGGCTACCCCAGACCCTTTCTGGATGTGCAGTGTGTTCCGAGTCCTATCCCGGACCTGGGACTGCTTGTGTTTCCTGCCCTCGACAGGAGCCGAAGGGACTCCATCAGCCCTTTGATGAAATGCAGTGCCAGGGTACGAGATTCCAGAAAGGAAGGCTTGTGTACTCACAGCTCACAGCCGGCCAGCGCTGCAGGTCAAAGCTGCACAGCCAAGCGGTTGTGGCCTCAGGCCAAGCTCACCTGGTTCCCAGCACGCAGCCCTCCACGGAGGGGCATTTACGCCCAGGCAGGAGAAAACGGGCCCCTCGGTTTGTAAGCTTTGCCATTGCTTCGTAGACTGTGTCCACCTGCTGTTAGCGGACTGCAGGCGATCCGGTCAGAGGTGGGAGCTCTGGCTCAGTCTTACCCTTGTAATGCAATTCTGTTGTGTCAGTGGATGGTGATTGGGTCAAGTACGAAATGACTGCTTCTCTGGGTCAGGTCTGAATCAGACATTTGAATTCCCTCACTGGAGGAGCCTCGTAGACCCTGGTGCCATTCAAATGAAGGGGATGATGCAGAACTGCTAAGTTCCCCGGGAGATTCCATCTTGGGCATTTCACAGAAACACCTAATCCCCGGGCAGGGTTGCTGAGGGGAGTGTGCGGCAGGGGGCAGTGACGACCTGAGGCTAAGCACTAGGTTATCCAAACAACCTGGGTGGGTTTGATTTTCCTCATTGCCCGTCATTGTTTTGGCCCCCAGTGGGCATAGCTTTAACGACTGCACCTCTTTTCAAGCTTCCCAAATATTTTTGAGTCGGAGAGCTCATTTAAAATCCCCTCCAACGGCTCTGCTGAACGTGCAGTGGCACACGATCGCTCCAGGTTTATCAAAATGCTCCTCCGCGGGCTGAAGCCAAGGGTTGATGAACAACCAACCACCTTTCCTTCCCCTGGTAGTTTCCCTGATTTTGAAGCCTTTTAGCAAAGATTTGGCCTTCCCTCCTGGAGAAGGGGGCGGGGGGCTTCTTTGGACACAGAAGGAGAAATTCCTCCTGCCCTGTCTTGATATTCAGGGATGTATGAGGCTTGCAGCTGGTTTGAAGGGGCACTGACTAGACTGAAAAGAGCCGCCCAGACGAGCAGCCAGCTTGCACGCAGCAATGTGTTTTCCTCGGAGACATACACGTATGACAGCCTTCCTGTCAGGAGCCCCCCCCCTGTCCCGGGGGGGGGGGGGGGGGGGGAAGCCTCAGCGCATCGCACAAAGGCCACCGCAGAGACGCTCTTTTCCCTCAGAAGGGCAAAGTGAATTTTCTTCCCCTCCCCAAATTCTTCTGCCCTACAGTTGAGAGAATTCACCCCGACGATTGGTGTTTATTTCCTTTGCTCGCTCCTATGTCCTCATGGCCCTGTTTTCCTTTTGTTTCCCGTGATCCAGAGCTTAAGACCACTATCATGTTGAAAGGAAATATCATTCTCTCATCAGAAAAACACAAGGGACCCAAAAAAGTATGTACAATTCTAATGCATGAATACTTTTACCCATATATTAAATATAGGAACTAGCACTCTTCGCATGTATTAAGAAAGGAAATAGCAAGTCGCTACATTCTGTGACCGAGGTAGAATCCTCGCTTAAAGAGTCTCCTTTGAATGCAGGTTTCTGTTTTGTGAAACTATTTCCATGTTCTGGCTCAAGACCCTCTCCCGCCCACGCACCCACCCCCAGTAGCACGGTCCTCCAGCCCCTCCGTGAAATTAATAGCACTGCCTACCTCACAGGGTGGGTGTCAAGCGAAGGGCTGTGCAGGGAAAGCGCTAGAACGAGGCACATAATTAGTTCATATAATGAACTCCAAGATGTCAACTCCAGGGACTTCGTTCTCAGTCCTCTGACCACGGTCCCTCTGTATCTGGAGACGCCTGCCTCCTTCAATTGTAACAACACCATGCTCGCCCAGTTCTTGGTTCTGTACCTCTGCGTCCATTCTGACTCGTCTTTTGGCCTCTAAATGAGATCGGTCTGCAGGCCCCCCTCCCCTCCTGCTCCGCATCATTTCCCTTGGCCTCCCATTCCCCTGAGGCGTAGGCCTGCCTAACCAGCCACTTCCTGGGAAGCCCCCTCCTCTTCCTTGTCCTTTCATCCCTCCCCTCTGTCCTGCATTCACGCAACAAATTTGATAATCAGGAACATTTCGTAGATTACATTAGTGTATTTACGCTTCTCCCCCGTGGCTCTCTCTACTTCCCAGCTCCTCACGTGGGACGTGGGGACCAAACTCATTTCTGTTGACTCCAAACCTGCATTTGTGGCCTCGGTTCACCTTCATGGTTTTACCACCTTCCCATCCAGGCTCAAAGCCTCAAGAGTCATCTTGGAACCCCCACTCCCCATGGCCCCTCACATGTAAACACTTGCCAATCCTATGGATTTCAGTTATGAGTTTTAAAGATCCAGCCCCCAGGGGTGCCTGGCTGGCTCAGTAGGTAGAGCGCATGCGCGTGACTCTTGATCTCAGCATCTTGAGTTCAAGCCCCACGTTGGGCGTGGAGCCTACTGGAGGGATGAAAAAAAAAAAAAAGAAAGAAAATCCATCCTTTCTTTCTGCTACATCCTAACTTATACGGTATTACTTTTTTTTTTTTTTTTTAATTTTATTTCAACAATTGTAATATCCTCCTGAGTGTCCTGGGCCTCTGGCCTTTCCTGACTCTAGTTCAGATCTACAAGCAGAGACTGAATCATGCCTGGAAACAAGACGCAAACTTACCACACACGATAAAGGTCCCGTAACTTCATCTGATGCCTTATTAGCCCCCCGCCACCCCCGCCATTTTTGTTCTGGTTAAAATCCTGTGATGGTTTAAGGACGATCTCCAAGGCCATGCCTGGGCCTCCCCTTAAAATTGCCATTTATCCCCTTCGATAGCTGTCACAGACTCTTGCACAAACTAGGAGCCCGAAGCTCACCTCATCAAGTCTGCCAGGGCAGCTCTAGTGACAAATAGGTTAGTTTGCAAATATGGTCTAGTAATTCTTCTAAAAAATTTTTTTAAATGTTTTTAGTATTTTAATTTTTGAGAGGGGGGCAGAGCACGAGTGGGGGAGGGGCAGAGAGAGAGAGAGAGAGAGAGACAGAATCCACAGCAGACTCCTCGCTCTGAGCTGTCAGCACAGAGTCCGACGCAGGGCTCGAACTCACAAACCATGAGATCGTGACCTGAGCCGAAGTCAGACACTCACCTGACTGAGCTACCCAGGCGCCCCTGGTCTCATATTTAAACTACTTGCTGCATTTCAACAAATGAAAAGGAAAACCCCAAAGAAATATTCTGGTAGTATGTCATAAGCTTTAGCTTCCCATTTGAACATAACTCAAATTTGATGAAGTAATTCTGATATCGTATCAGGTTTTCTAAAAGAATTTTTAAAATCTTCCAAATGGTTCATCAAAGGAATCTTTTCCATTCAGAAAACCTCATTTCCACACACACACACACACACACACACACACACACACACACCCTCTGTAATCATCCGGGCAGGGGGGGGGGGGGGGACAACCAGAGTATTTAAAATGCATCAGATGGGACCAATGCCCTTCAGTCCTTGCTCTACAGAAACTTGAAATAAAACCACATCAATATTTTGAATTGGCAATAGAATTAAGCAGAAAGTCTGTGATGGCATGAAACGTTTTTGACCCTGGAGGATTTATATAAGCCACTTGGAGTCTCAGAAGGGCCTCAAGACATCTGTTCAACTTTAAATTCTAAAGTAAATGTAAATAAGCATTTAAATTTCCGCATGAAAGGTGGTAAAAGTGTGTTTATTGAGATACTTGTCTAACACCGTAGACTTTAATTACTGAAGAGCAGGGGTCTGTGCCTAACAGTCTTCTAAGTACCTGGAAAGGTAGTATTGCCACATTTCTTTGAAACACAAAAGAACACCTAATTTCCTCTCCCAGCCTAGGCTTCCAGTGGCATAGAAACCACTTTGAGATTTGGATTATGTCAACTTCTGGAAGCTTTGTGATACTGTATGTGTGTCTTGTATCAAATCATGTATGCAGCCCACTGCTCTGGTGGTTAAGACCACTCAGAAAGTCAGGCCAATGTTTCAAAACAATTTTTTTTTAATAAATAGTTTTGAGACAGAGCGTGCGAGCCGGGGAGGAACAGAGAGAGCCGGAGACCCAGAATCCGAAGCAGGCTCCAGGCTCCGAGCTGTCAGCACAGAGCCCGATGGGGGGCTCGAACTCAGGGACTGTGAGGTCATGACCTGAGCCCAAGTCGGACGCTCAACCTACTGAGCCACTCAGGCACCCCAGGCCAATAATTTTTTCCTAATTAAAAAAAAAATTTTTTAATGTTTGTTTTTGAGAGAGAGAGAGAGAGAGCGCGCACATGCGCGCGCATTAGTGGGGGAGGGGCAGAGAGAGAGAGAGGGAGAGACACAGAATCTGAAGCAGGCTCCAGGCTCCAAGCTGTCAGCACAGAGCCCTACACGGGGCTCAAACTCAGGGACTGTGAGATCATGACCTGAGCCCAAGTGGGACGCTCACCTGACTGAGCCACCCAGGCGCCCCAGGGCAATATATATTTTTTTAACTGGGGACTTTTTTTTGTCCGATGGACTCCAGGCACACCTTCTAGTGCTTCCAGTGGTAGAGTAGGCAATAGAGCCCGTGTGTGTGACACAGGCTCTAAGTCCCTTCTACCAAAGAGGGGAAAATGGGATTTGCGGTGTTAGGGAGGCAGAATAATCTACAATGTCA